TAGCATGACAAATGCAGATGGTATTGTTGTACCTAAACCATAAAGCCTAATAGAATGAGGAAGATGAGAAAAAATGGTCTAGTGATTGGAGAGCAAGGAATATTCTAATATCCGCTTTTGGAGTTGATGAATATTACCATGTTTCTCATTGTGAAACCACTAAAGTTGTTTGTGATGCCTTACAAGTTGCCCATGAGGGTACAAATGAAGTCAAACAAGCAAGAACCAATACTTTAAATTAAGAGTTTGAACTCTTTCGTATCGAGCATGGTGAAACCATTGCCAAAATGCAAAAGAGATTCACTTATCTTGTAAACCGTTTGAATGCACTTGGTAAGTCGGTTTCCAATGATATTGCTACTAACAAGATTTTTGAGATGTCTTAATAGGGAATAACAACCTAAGGTGACTTCCATCAAGGAAGCTAACAACCTATTGACAATGGATATAACTACTTTGTTTGGTAAGCTTGAAAAACATGAGCAAGAGTTCATTAGCTAATAGAAAACATGAGAAGAAAGTTAAGAAAGAAAATAAAAAAGAAAAAGAGGTGGAAAAGAAGTCAATTGTTCTTATGGCTTCTAGCTCTAAGTCCTCAACAAGAGAGCATAATGAAAGTGGATCTAGTGATAATAAGAAGTCGGATGATGAAGAAATGAGGGTTTTTGTTAAAAGGTACTATAAGTACATTTTGAAAAATGGAATAAAGCATTTCGACAAGAATCTCATCAACTATAGAATGCATTTAAATACCTCAAGGGAAGATAGGAATAAGAAAGAAAAATTAAAGTTTCATGCCATAATTGTGGAAGAGCGGATCATTACAAGCCGGATTGTCCATCGCTTAAGAAGGATAGAGAAAAAGGCCAACAAAAGAAATCTAGTAAGTCTAGAGAGCATACATCGCATGGGATAGTGATAGTAAATCCTCCAAGGAGGATAGCTCAAGTGAAAGTGATGAATTGGCAAATCCTTGTCTCCTGGCCAAGCATAAAAAGAAAAATGTAATTCATTCTAAATATGAACCTATTGATGAGATGCCTCATTATGAATTACAAACTACTTTAGAGAATCTATATGGTAAAGCTGTAAACGCTTTTAAAAGGTTGACTTCAAATACGAAAATATTTTTTATATTATGAAACTAAAATTTTAGAAACGAAAAAAAAATGGAAGCGCTTAAGAAAACCATGTTAGATGCTAAAAAAATATAAGATTAAGGATGAGAAACCTTCTTGATTTGGTTGTGAAATTTGTCACATTTTGACAAAAAGAAGTTAATACTCTAAAGGCCAAATTATGTAAGGCTTTAGAACCAAAAGTCACTATCGTCGTTGATTCAACAAATTTTAAAAGACCTTTATATGAACCATAAAGAAAAGTATAATTTTGTTGCATAAGAATCTAATAGAGAAAAACATTTTCATTGTCACTTGATTTGTGACTATTGTTGTAAGAAAGGTCATACATACCATTACTAAATGCAAATTTAAGAGACTTTTGGTTTCTAAAAGTGTATTTCAATGGTTGCTCAAGTGCAACAATGTTTCCACTCACCCTCAAGGATCTAGTAAAAATTGGGGGATCCAATGAAAATTGGGTACTTAGCGTTATTGATTGACTTTATAGGTAAAACTATCTTGACTCCTTGAAGAGAGTATTGTATCTTAACAAATGAAGCTTAAGGCATACAAAAAATAACATATCTTTATTCATTGACTTTGTGGCAAAGAGAAAGGATATTGTAACCTATGAAGTTAATTATCAAATATTTATGCTAAATGATTAGTATGATATTCACATGATGGATATTCTACTATGTAGGAAAAAACAGCCTACCTATCCTTCATGAGATAGCTTCTTACTTCTCAACCGAGCTTCCGATTTCTTCTCAACTGGGCTCCAATTTCTGAACTTTGCAACTCTCCTCTTTAATTTGCATGAAGATGGATTCTTATAAAAGCGGTGGCAGAAGCCATTCCTATGTACACTATGAGTTGCTTTCTCTTCACTAATAATACATTTTCTAAGAAGAAAATTCATTTGCTTAAGAAGAATCATTTGTGTATCTCTATGTCTGAGGGACATGGGATTCAGAAGTTTAAATACTTTCGAGAATGTCTTGTTTACTAAACAAGTCTGGAGACTTTTTATCAATCATAATTCTTTGGTTGGCTGTTGTCTCAAAGAGAGATATTACCCTACTAGAGATATTATGTTGAGTTATACTTGGAAAATCATTCAAAAAGCGATACGGATATTTTGTTAGGGTTCTTGTTGGAAGGTGGGGGAGGTAACACCATCCATATTTGGTTTCATAACCGGTTGCCTTTCAAAAATGGGTTTAAAATTCAAACACAACACACTATCATGGATCCGAACCTGTCTGGCATTAGGACCTATTTTATATGGAAACTAGAAGTTGGAACAACACTTTTATTGATCAAACTTTTATAGCTTTTGAAGCAGACCAAGTCAAACAAATCATGCATATAGATGGTGATAGAAATCCTAATACTTCCGGTCAACAAGAGAAAAATCTGTTGAAATTGAATTCTCCTCCTAGTCATAAGAATCCTTTAAAAAAATCGATTTTTGTGAGACAAGAACTCATCAAGCATTGTATTAATTGTCCAATGTTCTTCCATGTTTACTTAACTAGTAATAGATCATATTTTCATTAAGTGTGCTAAAATAAAGGATTTTTGGTTTTGTTTTAATCTAGGAAATAATTGTAACAACTTCCTCACCTAAATATGCAAGATTGGTTTTGTATTACGCGTTCAAAACTGATATAATTCTCGAAATCCCATAATGATAACTTATTGATAGTACTTCTAGTATAGTTTTCGTTAAACACGCAAACAAAAGGATAAAATTTCTATACACAAGTTGAATATAGATGAACTTCCATAACCAAAGTAAAACGTACACTAAAAGGGTCTGCATTTTAGTGTATGCTTTACTTTATTCCACAATTAATCTTTTCAAAATGATGTTATGTTACACGGCAGCAGATTCTGATGGTAAAGAAGATCAGCATATTGTAGGCCCGTTGCACAAATGAGAAAGGTAAAGGTGTTTCAGCCATTTTTCCTAAAAACAAGAAGAACATAGAATGAGAGGACCAGTCTTGATATTAATTATAAGAAATTAGATAGTCATTCAACTTGACCCCAACCTTTTTTACTTGTGGACATTTCAAGTCAAATATGTGTTGATACAATCAAGGTTACACAAGATGCAAGATTATGTCGGTGGTTGAAGAGCTTCCTACCAACAAGGAAGTTGCACCATATGTTTCCAATTTAGTTTTTGACATGTGAAATTCTTGGAGTGGTTTACCTTCAAGTGAAATTTATTCTTAATGATAAAGTATATGATTGTCGGTGATGACAATGTGAAATTATTGAAGTGGTTTATCTTCAAATAAAATATATTCTTGATGAGAGAGTATGATAGTTTTTAAAATCATGATTGTCGGTGAAGACAATGTAAAATTTTTTGGAGTGGTGTAGCTTCAAGTGACTATACTCTTTATGGTGGAGTATGATTGTTGATGAAGACAATGAAAACTTATTATTATTTTCAATCAAGGTGGAGATTGTTAAGGTTGGTTGAATATATACATGTTGAAGAAGTCTCACATCGCTTAGTTTTGTGAATGAAGAGAGAGTCCAAGACTATATATAAGATACGAGTTATTTGAAGTCCCACATCGCTTAGTTTTGTGAAGAAAGATGGAGTTCAAGGTGATATATAAGATTCAAATTTTTCGTTACAACATGCATCAGACAAAAGTACTTTAAATTTGTATTTGAATATCTTTGTTTAAATTTGTATTTGAATATCTTTGTTCTCTTATACTTTTGTATTAGTGTTGTGAGATGTAGTTTAATATTTGTTTTAGAGGGTGTGGGTGTATTGAGGTCCTAGGTTAATTGAGGGTATATTATGTGTTGTAACAATTTGTACAGTGTTATTCTATGGTTGTCTATTGAAAACAATCTGATTTTTCTTAAGTTTTTCCCAACAATTGGCTCCCTACAAGCCAAGTTTAGGTTGCAAGAGTTGAAAGTTTGGGAGTGTCTCTCATCCGAATATTGTAGGCGGTAACATAGGTCTGAACGAAGGTTCACATAGATGAAACTACGATGCAGATCTGAGGAGCAGAGGAGATGAAAACACTCATTGATTTGCCCTAGGTTGGACAAAACTATGCGATGAGGGAACAAATGGAACATTTGTTATGACTTGATCATCTATCCCTTGAGGAGGAAACGAAAGATTCCTGGCAGCTTTAGTTATTGTAGTGAAGAAGGATTCTTAGAACAGCTATTCCCATGTATACTATGTCTGAGAGGCATGGGATTCAGAAGTTTAAATACTTTTGAAAAAGTCTTGTTTGCTAAACAAGTCTGGATACTATAGTGTTAGATCAGGATACTATAGTGTTAGAAATTGGGACCTTTTAGCAAATCCTAATACTTCCAATCAACAAGAGAAAAATCTATGGAAATTAAATTCTCCTCCTAGTCATAAGAATCCTTAAAAAAACTCCATTCCTGTGAGACAATAACTCATCAAGCATTGTATTAATGGTCCAATGTTCTGCCATGTTTGCCTAACTAGTAATAGATCATATTTTCATCAAGTGTGTTAAGACTAAGGATTTATGGTTTTGTTCTAATCTAGGAATTAATTTTAACAACTTCCTCACCTAAATATGCAACATTGCTTTTGTATTACGCGTTCAAAACTGATATAATTCTCAAAATCTCATAATGATAACTTATTGATAGTACTGCCAGCATAGTTTTCGTTAAGTTAAGCACGCAAACAAAAGGATAAAATTGCTATACACAAGTTGAATACTTCCACAACCAAAGTAAAGCGTACACTAAGTCTGTCGTTTTAGTGTATGTTTTACTTTATTCCACAATTAGTCTTTTCAAAATGATGTTATGTTATAGGGCAGCAGATTCTGATGGTAAAGAAGATCAGCATACTGTAGGCCCGTTGCACAAATGGGAAAGGTAAAGGTTTTTCGGCCATTTTTCCTGAAAACAAGAACAACATAAAATGAGAGGACCAGTCTTGATATTAACTATAAGAAATTAGAGACTCGTTCAACTTGCCCCCAACCTTAAGATGAGCACTAGGAAACATAGGTGTAACTAGAGTTTCCTGAGTTTCATCGCCGCACTTGTTTCTCGGGATACTTAATATAACTGCAGATTGAGCCAATGAAGCTGCAGTTGCTGTAATCATATAACCCTCATCCAAACGTTTTTGGATTACGTCACTCGGATAGAAGAAATCAAGTTCCACCACCTGTATTAAAAAGGTTAGTAATGACAGAAAGAGAAGTCGCAGGAGCAGAAAATATAATACAAATCAACACAAAACCTGATCCCTGAACCCAGTATTGCGAGACACAACAATACACCAGCGGTTTCCAGCGGTACCCATTGAGGTGACATGAAAACCTTGTTCACGCTTCTTGTTCATCCATTCCTTGGGGAAAGATCGGCTTATTTTGTAAGCTTGTTGAGTATACCTCATACCTGCAGAAATTAGATCAAAACCACAGCAAAATGAGCGCAAACAACTTTGAATCATTACACATAAAAAGGCTCTCAGAAACTCAGATTTCAAATTCAATTCACCTTTTGACATTACCACAACAGAGTCTCTATTCTCGGACCCTGCAAAAGAAGTAATGTAGAAGTTCTTACTCCATTGTTCCATGATCCATTTCTGTATAGAAACAATGTCAAATACATAAGAATAAGATTAATCACATTAAGTTATCATGCTTATAATAAAAAAAAGTAATAGATACACATCAAATTGCACCTTGGGTAAAAACAATGGCGACAACTTGTAAACTTGAGCATTATAATCAGTTTCAGCATCCATGATAATTGCCCATAGATTAGAACAACATGATACACAGCTGATTCGAAGCTTATCTGAAATCCCTTTCTCAATATGTTGTAATAATTTTGCATCATTCAAATTGTAATGATATCTACAATTCAAAACCAATTCAAAAATCAGAAAGATAAAACCCTACTCAACATGATGTTCATGATCCAAGTTTTCTTTACCTTTGTTTCATCGGTTTTCTTGTATTGTAAACAGAAAACCATTGAGAAGGAGGATGAATCTCTGAATGAACATTCTCTTTTGGTACATTTGCATCAGCTTTAACTCTACCGCGCTTTTGTCCAACCTATATCAATTAAATATAGGTTTCAAATTATGATGAATCCATCGGAAAACTAGAAAATTGAGTGAGTACCTTTTTGGAGTCATCGATGACGAATTCATCGAACAGTGATATTAGGTTGGAAGAGGAAGGTTCTTGATCGAGCATAGTCTTTTCACGTTTTCTTGATGACTCTTTTGGTTCCGCCATTGAAAGCGAGAGTTGCAAAATCAGAAAATCTGTCGAAAAGCACTTGTGTGTTTTATTTATGAAACTAAATCGTTACGGTTTGAACAAGTGTTATTACTTCTTAATAAATGTTTTTATGATAATAAATAATATATTTTATTTACATTTATGTTTCATAAATATATATAATGTATTTATCGATCAAATATGTATATTGATACAAAAAATATACGCTTTAATTGAAAATATTTGAGTGAATATTTACTTTATTTTATTTATTTTTTTATATTAAAATCCATTCTCCTCCTTAATTTGGATTGAATCCTTTTCCTTGACAACAATGGAGAATTGGTTCTTTTTGCCCTAACTCTCATTTCTCTATCTTTTTTCTCTTTTAGGTGTTAACGGACTAATTCTTCCACTAACTCTCTCTTAACCCCTTAATCAGGTTTTTAATTCATTTAATTTTATTACTAATAATACTAATAATATTAATAATAACAACAATAATAACCATAATCCTATTAATATTATCATTAATAATAATTGAAATAATAACATTAATAATCATAATGCTTTTAATCTTGTTATTAAATTATCCATTACTCTAAGTCCACCTTCTCCCCAACTAGGGTCAGCTCTCACTCTCGCCCCTAACCTCATACCCTTGATTAAGGGCATCACACTAATACACAAAGTATAAAAAGACTAAATAATTCAAATGAGGTGTTACAACAACCATCACAGGTCTACACCTCGATAATCACTGCATTACATTCTAAAAAGGCTTGGAGGGGTGAAGGAATACTAAGGTCCTCAGCTTCACGGGCTCCCAGGTCGGAAAAAGTAACATCAATACGACTACTCCCAGGTCCTCAGCTTCACTGAGCATGGTTATATCATATGTTAATCATGTTAGGACTACTCCCAACAATTAACTATTGATTATACCACAATCCTATCATAAGTGCACTTAAGTCCGGGTTATGACTTATCTCACCACTCAAAGGTCACAATCCTGCACGCAGAAAAACCCAAGCAATATAGATATATACAAATGTACAAGTATACAAGTATAATAACAAACAAAAATAGAAACACAAATATAACAAGTTAGGTCCAACCCACTGAAAAATTCTCCCTATTTAAGTCGTCATTTTTGTCGCGGTGAGAATCGGATATCAAGCTATTGTATTAACTTGACTCACAAATCTTTGATGTCACCACTGATCTTTAATTTATCCAAGGGAATGGGAAAAGAAAGAATAACTCATAAATAAAATGCAGAGCAAAAAGCAAGGCCTAAAGCTAAGCAAAAGAGAGATCAAAGATACGGGGTTGGTTATACTAAGGGAAGGTACTAGCACCCTAAGCATTTGTAGTACTCTACATGAACCTCTTGAAATATTTGTGTTTTACTAAAAATTGTTTGCTAAAAAGTAAAGATGGGTAAAGTAAAGAGAAAAAAGTTGGAAAAAGAAAAAAAAAATAGAAAAATAAAAAGGTAACTCGCAAGGATCTCGCAATCCTATGCCTACGTATCCTATATAGGAAGTCAAAGCAATCGTAGTTCGGAAACTACGTGTGAAAAAAAGAAAAGTGTGAAAAAAGAAAAGGTGGAAAAAAGAAAAGTGTGATCGCCAAGGATCGGGGTCTTGTGCCTACGTATTCTCAAGAGGAACTTGAGAAATCAGATCGTCTGTAATTCGTGGAACCACGCGTTGCCATGTTCTAAGAACCAAGAACAACAAAGACAAGTAAAGAATAAACAAGGGACACGCACAATGATAATAAGTCAACACACAGTCCCTTCCCTCGGATTAGGTCACATGGATCAAAAGAAAAGCAACAGATACACGGAAAAGCATCATGTAAATGACAAGTAAGAATACACAAACACAATAGACGGAAAAGCATCATGTATGATCAGACAAACAAAATAGCACAGAATACGCATGGAAAAAACATCATGGTAATCAACAGCAAGTAAAATCAATAACAGACACAGCAAAGCATCATGTAGAAACAATATGATTAATCATGGAAAAACATCAAGATTAAATCAGATGAAACAAGCCCAAAACATAGAAGCAGAGAAGTCATGACATAGAATCGGGTGACAAGGAATTATTAACCAATTTAAATATAAATATTTAATAAATTTAATTAATAATTTAAATAAAAATATTTAAGTCAATTAATAATAAAAATTATTTTTACATTTTTTAAAATAAATAATTAAATTAGAAATAAATAATTAAAAAGTTTTCCCTTTTTTGATCATTTAATATTATACAATAAAAAATAATTAGAAAAAAATTACATTTTAAATATTTAATAAATGGCTAACTAACTAGAAAAAGAAATAAAAATATAAGTCTGTTTTTTTATACTATGCTAACTAATAAAAACATAAACAAACAATCTAAAATAATTAATAAAAGACGAATAGCTCATACACAAAAAAAAATATTACATAATTCAATATATAAAACATAAAATATAGCACTTAATGTACATAAACACAATATATAACTAAAGCACACAACATTACATACTATAACAAAACAATTAGTGCAAAGATAGGACAAAGAAAAGAAACAGGTTACCATAATGAATTGTGAAAGAAGAGAAGCTCTCTCTCCTCTGCTTCTTGTTCGCGACTTGCGTCACCTTCTTTCTCAACGGTGTGGCGGTTTCTCTGCGTTCTCGATCTCTCTTGTGGTTTGTTTCTGACGGTGAGGTGTGAGATATTGTTAATTTTCTATCCATTAATTTTACGCACAGTTGACTTTTAATTTGACTGATTTGACTATAATTTTAAAAAATTATTTTAACTGATAAATTAAATATTATGAAAAATGACAAACATAATATACTATGCACGCGATACAAAAAAGTCGTAGAATTTTAAAGTTAAAAATTAAAGTATGACATATAAACTATACTAATTTAATAAAACTCTCAATTGATTTATTTATTTTGAACATGCTATACTAATTTAATAAAACTCTCACTTGATTTATTTAATTTAAAAGAGAATAACAACATGTATACACATTATCTTAGAACTAGTTATGTTTTGTTTATGTACACTTAAACTTTAACTACTCTCATATGCTATATTAAATTCTCATTTTCTAATTAAGGAATTCAACTACATAAGGCTATTTAACTTTCCATTTACATGTTATTATAACTAAGTGGCTATAAATCTCATGATATTATGTGTATTTGCAACACACAAATGCAGCAACTACTTTATTTAATAACATAAGGGTTGTTTGGTTACTTTATTTCATTTGTTCCCCATAGATCATGTGTATGTCTATTATTTATAACCACATATTTATTAACGTTAGTATTACAATTATAATTAGTTTTACCTAAACTCACAATTTATTTAAATAAAATAAAAGTTCGTAGCAATTGTTTAATTTGAATTTTCAATTACCTAAATAGAGGTATAACTTAATTGGATAAAATTGATCTTCTGCTATCTGTTTTTCTGTCCTTACTTCCTGTCCACGTAATCTTCTTTCCCATACTTAAGTTTCAAGGCCTCATGTTAAATGGTAGTCAATTTGGGGCTGAGATCTATCAAACTCCTTATTCTTGGTAGGTAGGCTTTCAACGGAAGAGTCCTTCTTTTTTCTGAACCCATTTCCACTTCTAAAGGATGCTTACAACAATCCTTGGTCTTTTAAGATTCCTTGGAAATCAATTTGTCATGCTAAAAAAAGATTTTAATGCTAATGAATGTGATGTAAGGATATGCAATGGTTTAAGACGGTATAGGTGACTTCTTACAAATTGTATGGTGGTCAACTTAGAGAGATAGTTCTAAGGTCTTTTTAGATAGTGCTCTCTTAAAGGGTAGTTTTAGAGTGTTTTTAAGGGTTAGGCTTCAGTGATTTTGAAGCACCAAAGTCGCTATGACTTTGTGTGTTTCTCTCATTTACATATAATCTCTTTCATCTGATTTGTCTCTCTTTTTTATTTTATCTATCTCCAAATACAACTAAAGTCACCAAAGTCACAAGCCTTCAAAATCACTGAAGTCATATTCGTGTTTTTAAAGGGTACCTAGAGTCATGGATTCTAATTAGAATTTTTATGGCGAGTCATTATACGAAAACATTCGCGAAAAACATCTTTTTTAGGCAGGGTCCTTGTACTAACCAAGCGAAATGTACATCTCGAAGGCCAATACTACACGACCACCACTCAATAGAATGTTCTAGACAAGATACCTAGAGTCATGGATTCTAATCAGAATTTTGCCATAATAACGGACGAGCATTATATGACAACACTCGTGAGAGGAATCTCCTTTAGGCGGGGTCCTTATACTAACCAAGTGAAATGTACATCTCACAGGCCAATACTACGTGACCACCAAACTTAAGTTTAGGTTTCTTAGACTCGGGTATAAAGCCACACTCAAGAAATGTGAGAGTGAAATAGAAAGCCACCTAAACCCATAATATAAATAGAAAATAACATGTACAGAAAAAATAAAAGGGAATAATAATATGCAAAAAAATGAAACAATAGAAAACATAAAACAAAGCTAACCTATACCACCAAACTAACTACCCTAGGTTTGACTCTCTAAGGATCCCCAGCAGAGTCGCCAGCTGTCGCGACTCAGTAAGTATTCGAGTGAACGAACGCTCAAAATCAATAGAGTTGCCACCGAAATTTTAGTTTTAAAGGTAAAAGATGATAAAAGCCTTAAAGATTGAAAACATGGTCGTCACAACCAAATTCAGATTTGAAAGTCGATTATGTGCGAAGAATATATTAGCACCTCAGACATCTGTTGTATTCAACGGGAACGATTTAGTTAATTTTTAGAAAGTGTTAGCTTGAAAATTGCTTGACGTTCTTCTTATTATTAAAAATATTTATTAGAAAATAAATTGAAAGAACTAAAAAAGTGGTTTTTTATTAAGGTAATTGACAAGACATTGAATTTTGCTCTTATGTATCCCCATGTACAATGGGAAACTCAAATG